TCTCCATCTTTAAACTCCGGTACACTGTATCAGAAGACACCCCAGCCTAATTGGGTCTCTGTGTGAAGTACGTAGCCTCCTAGTTAATGAGTTACTTAATAGCTCATAAAGTGTCCTCTAGGCTCCCCTCAAACTATAACCATTCCCAGGCAGCAAACCAAGCACTTATCACACTTACAGACAGTTTTAATATCAAAAGTCAGAAAGCAGAAGAAAGACTAAATAAATAAATTTGTTATACTTTTTGTTGAGGGGTAGGGGGAAAGACGGGCATTCTGTCTGCATGTTAGGGGACAGGCCCTTCTAGACTGCTTTTTCCTTTGGTCATTAAAATGCAGAGAGACAATAAAGCTGTGTAATCATCCTGTAACATTTCAGCACAAGTATTAAACCAGGATCTTCTACTGAGTTAAACCGAGACCCAAGATTTTCCTGGATGTTAGGCACAGCCATTGACAGCTCACACAGACTGCAGCAGGAGCCGAGCACAGCAGAAGCTAAGCTTGGCTTCCTCTGGATCAAAGGGCACAATCCTTTGGCACCACAACGCCAGGTAAAGTGTCTAGATGGACTTTGAAATATGCCAGAAAACGCGAAAGTTTTCAAATTAACTTTTATGTTACATCCCACTCAGCTGGTGTAGAGTGCATTAAATGCTACCATGGAGTGTGTCAGAGCATACTCCATAGAGGACATTTAATGTTAATGTCAGCACTTACAGGGTCACTGGCAATAACAAGTGGTTATCTAAGTGACTGATGACCCAAGCCTCTGGCACAAAGGTTGTTATTTCTTTTGTATTTGTGGTTATTTCCTACTAATAATGCATGTGTTTCTTTCCTCATACATAAAGCCTAAGAAATCTATTAAGATGACAGTATTTGAACAATAGTAAAATACAGTGCAGTTATGAACTATTAAAAAAAAAATTAGTAAGAATTTGAAACTATCTAGCATGTACTCTTAGGGATTTATCATTCTATCCTAAAGGGCTTTATTCCAGGAGAGATTTGGTCCAAATGAATATTAGTGACTTGCGGATGTGCAATGTATGCCTTAGCTAGTATACCAAATCATGAATGAAATCTTGGCAGGGAATATAGGGCACGTATTGGAAGAAGGTTTTCCAGACAATTGTGATTTCAACAGTTATAGTGAATTTATAAAATACTTTAAGAGGCAACATTTCTTCATGGTGCATCCTTGTTATTTTCCATAGATTCAGCACTGCATGCAAAGCATACATTACAAATTATGCATGCTAATGAGCCAGTAGCTTATAAGTAAATGTATGTTCTCTAACAAACATAGACATTATACCTGTGCTTGCAGGCACACAGTTTGCACTATTTGATGTTCCTTAACTTTCTGAAGATCTAAGGTTGTTTCCACAAGAGAATTAAATACCTTTTTCAGTAATAATCCCTCCTTCCCCCCAGCTTTCTGGAGAATTTTGTTGACCTTTTTTGTTTATTCTTGCTGCCAAGCCATAAAACTCACACAGTTAAGGCAGTATTAAGGTGACTTTTGTCATTTTTGTTTCCACAAGAGGCAGCTCCACTGACCCAAGAGCCTCCGAGGCAGTATCACTTCACTCAGGTTAGCATGCGTGGCTGTGCTGCTCGCTGCAGAGAAGACCTCAAGGGCGGGCATTTCGGCATGCTGCCAGCAATGACATCATCCCCCAGCTTACAAGAACCTTGTAAGCTTGGTTTGGGCAGAGCAAATCTGGACAAGTGCCGATGTGCAGTCAGACACAAGAGCAAGGCAGAACACTGTTCCACCACAGGCTCACAGAAGCACAGTACCCTGCATCCCTGCAAACGTGGCTCTGGAGCCCAAGTACACTCACTTGGAGAAGCACATGCCCCTGGTACAGCTCCCAGGAGCCACTTTTTTCTCCTTCTGCATAGGACTGTTTTAACACTCGCACTTTTTAAATTCCTTTTACCCTTGCAGCAACAAGAATTAGCTGGAGGCAACTGGTTACTCACTGACCTCTGATCCCACACGTATAACTGCCTGTGCTTTGCACCCACACCAACCCAGGCCAAGCTGTGGCTGTGCAGGCCCATGGAAGGCCCCGCACCCAGTCCTGTATGGCTGAGGAGTGGAAGGGGTACCTGAGCTGGAGGAGGTCTGCAGAACCTCACCATGCAGGGTGACGTTTGCCAAGGAAATAAGCAGGTTGGCTTTAAAAGCATGCTGTTCGATGATTCTGTTCTAAAAGCATCATGATACATTTAACCAAGTTGACAGAACAGGAAGAAAACAAGAAAACAAACTCAAGGCAAACTGCATTTGATCTGGAAATTATTAATATTTGAGACAATAAAGACAACCTCATTGAATACTATTTGCATAGATTCCCTCCTCGGAGCCAAACCACACTTTAAAGGACTTCATCTTGAAAGAGCACTGCCGAATTGAAACAGAACTACTACCATGACTAGAGGGCTGTGGTGCCAAAAGATGTCAGATTGAACACGAAACAGAATTTTCATTCTTTTGTGTACTCCATAAATATTAACAACTTGACACCCCATAATGAAAGCAAAATGCACTTAAGCACGGGCAGAAAAACCAAACTAGCCAACTATTCTTCTTTTAGGATTACAATTGAAAATTAGTGGTAGGGGTCAGAGTTTTCCAGCATAACTGTAGGTTGGGATTAACTCTATGGACATCCTGAGTGCATAGGAGGAGAATTTAGCCTTGAGTGGTGCTGGAGGATTGCAAACACCATGAAACAGGCACCCTACCCTTCCAGGGCTTTGCTGGATGGAAGCAGCTGCCCAATCCTTAAGTCAGCCAATTGGCCTCAGCCCACACTTAAGGCCATGAACAGAGAGGAGAGGTGCAGCACAGGACTACGGCACTTAGCTGGCCTGCTGAGCACCAGTCCTGAAGGAACCTCACCTGCTGTGGTCCAGAGGCAGAGCGTTACCTCCTCACATCCATGTGATGTACTGACAAAGTTTGCAAGTCACACAGAAAAGAAGAAAACTTCAATTGCTGGGCAAGAAGTGACAGGGAGAGCACAGCAGACAGGATTTGCTGCAATGCATTGCTTCGATTCGTATCAGTTGAGCATTTGCCTACCAATTCTCACTTTGCTCATTTATCTGATAGAAGGCTCTGTAAGTCTATAGCAAAAAAAAAACCAAACCAAAACAAAACCAAACCCCAAAATCTCATAATTTAAATCATAAAAGATTTTTGTCTTGGTGCCCATGCCCATCAAAAACTTTTCTAGGCAAGAACTTCCACCAAGACCTATGACAGAAGAGAAGTTAACAGAGAGGTTCTGAGTATGTAGACTCCACAGGGGTGCATTTGGTTTGGCTCCACAAAATACTTCTATATATGGTTTGGAGAGAGCTGTAAAGGGCAGGAAATTGCCTGTCTGTGCATAAAGTAGTAAATGGTGAAGTATTTTTTTGAATTCTCCCCCCCTCTGCAGACCAGCACAGGCTTTTGCATACACTATCAGGAAAGAAGCATATTTACAAATATTTAGGTGATTGCATAACAGAGTGAAAGACAATTCTAGCACTGAGAAGTGCACAAGTCACAGAAATATAGTTCTGTAGTACCTTGCTGCTCCTCTTATAAATAAAATTAAAAAGCAGAATGTTACTACCATCACATATTTTCTTCCACCAATTTTAGAGCCAGCTTCAGGAACCAAAGTGAGAATTAAAGGGGCAAAGGTGCATCAGGAAATAAAAGTGTTCCTAAGCTGAAATATGTCAACTTTTGACTCCTTCGGGTTTTGCAAGTCTCCCAAGAGCCGTCTATATGCCTGCTCCTTGTTTACCACAGTTTCATTTGCTGTGTCTGAGGCAAGAGGAAACTAACCTTACTGAGGGCCCTGGACACCAAGATGAATAATAGCTTTCCTCAAGGAAAGTTCATATTTGACAGTGAGGGCATGCACAAGGCTTTGCTTGCAAGCTTCTGTTGCAGGGAATCAGGGCCTGCCTGAGCTCAAAGTCGTTAATGCTTCCACATCCTCCTCCAGCACAGGAGGAAAGCACTGTGGAGTCTGTCCTACCATCTCCTACTGAGACACACTGTATTTTCATACTCTGGCAAATACAAACTGCGTGTGTACCGCCTTCAAGGAAGGCTTAGAGCTTTGCAATGCTCTAATCTCTACATTGTTTAGGCAATTTCATTGACCCTTTCTACTCTCCTGGCAGCTGCTTTAGGAGGACATGCAGAAGCAGCTGCTGTAGGAGCATAGGGGTGGTCCTGACAGAAGTAACTCACACCAATGCTTCTGGAAGAGGCACACAAGCCATCTCTTGCACCAGCACCTTTTTTAAAGGTGCCACAAAAATGCTCTGAGCTCCCTTGGTTGCTGTACAACATAATTCCAATGTTTGATCAGTTCCAGGAAGTGCTTTACAAGGCCAACTTACATTTTAGACCCAAAACACCTCCAATAACAATGAGACAGAAAAAGAGCTGTAGAGGTATTTTACTGCCCAGCCAGAAACATGTTCTGGTTAGAAGCTTCTACCTTAACCCCAGCAGCCTACCCAACAGATGTTACTATGCTTCCTGGGGCTCAGGATGACTTGATCCAACTTAAACGTAAAAGTACATGAGAACAATATCAACACATTTATATAAGCGACAAATGTGTGTTTTAAATTAGCTTGTTCCACAAACATAGGCCATTGAACAGCCCCATCTGCACATGGGGAAGGCAGCAATGGCCAGGTGCGTGCGTAGGAGAGGGGAACGATGAAGCAAGGAGGTAAAAACTGGAACAAGTAGCTGAGTGCAATGAGAGGAAAGACAAGGGAAGAGGAAAGAGGACAGAGCTTTTTAGTGCAGCTCAGCAGCACAGTGCTGACCTGTGTCACTGCTGCTGAAACTACTGTGAAGCAGAAGGGTAGTTCCAGGGATCCTGCAATTGCACCGCCACCGAGCTTCACTTTTCAGGGGCTTTCTGCAAGCTGCTGAGCCTAGGTAAGTCTGGCATTCACCCGAGTCTGCCTGGCAGCCCAATGGGATGCCTACAGTGTGACTGCCATACCATTTCACTGGGAACAAACAGGGGCCTGCAAGAGCAGGAAAGGAAGCGGCAGCCTGTTATCCTTGGGGTGGAAAAACCCCTAAGAAAAAAAACACACACCAAACAACAAACACCCCCAAAAACATCTTGGCCCACCTCATTGCCATCTGCTGACATGCAAGTGGAACAGGGATTTACAGTAACCCTGAGAGTGGCCAGAACCACTTTATGAATTTAACTCAAACATCTCATCTGGGTTTGAAAGAGGCTTTTTAAAAACCTACTAAAGCTCAAGCTGAAATTTTAGAGATCCCAAGGCAAAATCCTTGGCTCTGACCAGGAAGCACAGATGGCAAGTGCTCAGGGACAGCAAGACTACAACAAAGCAGGAAACACCTCCTCTTGGAAATGGGAGCTACGTGGAGAGGGAATCCATAAATACTCAGCGCCTGGGGTTTGGTCTGGAGCAACAGCCACAGGTCTCTGTGTCTGTTTAATGATCTTTGTATCATTAAACCTCCTGTTTTCCTAGTTGCAGATACTAGCTGGGCGCTCCCTTGGAAAACCTACGGCATTCCATACCCAAATTTTGAAATTCAATGGACATTGGCCATTTAAGTCCCACAGGGACACAGGAGCATATTCTCAATTTCTGTGCACCTTCACCTTTATGCATGTGCTTAAAATGACTGCATTTTAAGTGTCACTGAAAAGGATGTGTTAAATATGCTTCCACTGGCTTTAGACAATCCCAGCTTTTTACCAGAGGAAACTGAATAAATAAGATTTTAAATAAAAATTACAAAACCTTTTAAATAGACACAGCCAAATCATTCTGTTGAACCTTTTGATATATACTAAACCTACCACATTCTTTTAAAAAATTACAATTTTTCTAATTTAATTTAAACCAGCCACGAAAACAAAGGATTTAACTGCACTGCAGTTAATGATTCCAATAAAAAACCCTAGCTGTTTACATGTTCAACACAGAGAGTTTTCCTGGCCCCTTTTAGCTGTCCATACAATACATTGTTAAGTTAACACTTAATAACACCAGATTAATATATAACAGAGAGAGGGTGTATTGTAGCCTCATTTGCTCCATTTAGCAAGTTCTATTAAATTCTGGTTTTCTCCCTTAGAAGATCATAAATATGCCAGTGCTCACCTTTGAGAATGAAAGTCTAAAGTGCAACTTCATCTGGGCAAATCACTTGGCAAGTAATTTGTGACCCTTGATTTTAAATCACATTAAGAGTACCTATTCTGCTAAATGGGGGACCTGAGGCCAACTGGAGCATGAAGAAGAAGAGCAGGTTAGTTGCCCCTTTCCCCCCACCTCTCTCCCCAAGCCTGTGAACCTACCTGAGAGCCAGGCTGGTCCCACACAAACACTGCTGACCACAAGCTAAAGAAACACTACCTGCAAGTCTTGGCTTTCTCATGAGTATCGCTGTACCAGCTGACATTTAGGGGAGCCTGTCTCTTGCCAGCTTGTGGTGGTGTCTGATGGATGTTACTGCAGCAAGGAGCACTCTGACATACTGAAACTGCTATGAGTTGCTAAAGGATACAACACACCCATGACAGGCTAAAGCGGACTAATAACAACCTCCCCGTTCTCCACCGTTGGAAGGGGGCAGCAGAAAACTCCAAAACAGAGTTTGCAGCAGGGATTTTTGGAAAAGATATGTAAAGAAGACCACAGCTCAGGTTCCTGGGGAAGCCCAAGAACCCTCAATATAGGAGGGGGGGACTTGCCTTTGTAACAGAAGTATCTTTGTTCAACAGCAGCCCAAAGGTCGGTGCAGGAAGCCAGGTGCCCAGTGGGAAGACTTACAGAGTGACCCAAGAGTACCTGTGCTGGAGGGAGTGAAGGAGCACATCCAGCATCCACATACAGAACTAGCTCATAATCATCAAGATGGATACAGGGAGACTTCACCAGTCACCACTGTTTGTTACCATCCTTTTAACCACCTCCTTAGTCTGTATTGACTTCCCTTATCCCCTCCCTAAACCAGAAAGGCTGTTGAGCTGGATGCTGCTACACCTGCACTGCAGATATGTCCCCCAGCCCCTGTGCTCACCCAGAAATCACAGTGCAGCTGATTATGTCCACCCTGCTCTGAGCAAGTGGCACTGCCTCCCTGACTCAGTGCAAGATTTGTGCTAGAGTTAACTTGGGAGCAGCTATGAATTTAGGTTCCCTGCTTTTTATGGGTCTGCAGGGGTAACAGTAGCTTATACTTTAGTACAGTCTAACCACTAGTTCTCTTGCTGATGCACTTGGTCCTTAAGATTTAAGGAAGGCCTGTGTTACAGGAACAGGAAAACCAAAACAAGTGTAGGAGAAAAATACATTCTGGCTAGAACTTCAGCAGGGATATGGTTCTCTTGTTAATGACTGCAAATATATGAAAGAACTATAAATAAAGCTACAAATATGTCAAGGTGTGATTAGCAATGAGAAAGCAGAACTCCTGCTCGTGCGTTTCTGCAGTGCTGACCAACACTCAGGATTTTGAAAGCAGTATGTGGAGCGTGCATCTTAGCTCCACCACTGGTGTCCAAACTCTTTCAAAGGACATTCTTTTGGGTTTTTGCCAATCACTTAGTGCTTTGTACTCTTATCTTAACCCCCACAGAAATTAGGCATTCCTAGCCATGAAGATTAGTTCAGGTTCAGCTCTAGCATGTATACATTTTTGCCAGTTGTTATATGTAATGTACTATATATTCTAGTATAATGTAATAAATTACAGCAATTTAGCAGTAATAGAGTATGCATTTTTACACAATATTATAATAAACACAAATTAAGAGAGAGTTTCTAGGCACATCTTCTTTCTAAATCACAAACATAGTTGTGATACTTTGTAAATTATGTGAATTAATACAGTTGCAACATTACCAGAGCTCTCTGGCCTCATACTGATATTTGGCGAGAAGAACCTGAAACTTCCCTGCGTTAGGAAGACCACAGAAAGCTTCTATGTCCTTTACTTCCAGGTGGCTGTACTAAAAGTGCCAAGTACAATTGAGCATCCACTGATGAGCAGCTACCTAAAACAGAGGAATACAGAACACTTCCAGGCCTCATTCTCCACCACCAAGTTGCACTTGGAAGAGATGGGGAATGTCTGCACTGTGCAATTCAGTGCAGGGCAGATACCCAAGACCACTGGGGACCTGAAACAGTGCTGCCACTACAGCAGGGTGCTCTGCCCAGGATAATTAGTTGGTCTACAAAGATCTAGGACAGCTCAGCTGCTCCCAGGGTGAGCACCCACCTGCAGCGAGCTGTTCTGTGCATCCGTTCAAATGCCAGGCTCCCAGCTTCCCTACAGGTCACCTGGACTGTAGCATGCACAAAACAAAAGCACACAGCCGCCAAGCTTTTCACAATTGCATGTTCTCCTTTCAGAGGGCTTTACCAGTTACACTGGGTTTGGCTAGTTAATTTTCTTCATAGTAACTTGTATCATGCTATGTTTTAGATCTGTGGTGAAAATGGCGTTTTCACTCCTAGATGCCCATGTTGAGGCACCATATCATATCTCATCTTGTGTAGCCCAAATGAGTGACAATACACACCACAGGTAATCACATTGTCTAGAGCATCTGCATTTGAGGCAAGAGGAGCTGAGCCCAGATGGGTCAGTTCCCAGCTGCAAGGGCACTCTTACAACTTGAAGCAGCCAACTTTTATTCAACTGCATGGAAAAGATTTGTGGAGAAAGAACCAAAATGCAGTGGAAGCTGCAACAGCTGCAGAGGCTGGTGACTGGAACATTCCCTTATGTAGATGGAAAACATAAGACTCAATTCTTTCAGCCTGAGCTCTGTACTCTTCGTGGTTGACATTCCCATGAAAGAGCTCATTGTCAAATACAACATTAGCTGCTCAAAATACACACCTTGCCTGTATGTTATTTCTCCCAACACATTTGTTCTTCTGCAGCTGCTTCCAGTTCCACTGCCTAGGTACCAAGTCAAGTCATCTAAAAGGAGGAAGGCAGAGATTCATGCTTTAAGAGATTAGTGGATTTTCCCCCATCTCTGTACTGTTCTCCCCATATTTCTGTAAGGCTGGAAATGCCTTGTCCTACCTTGGCATTTCCACCCTTTATACAGTGTTCAGCCAACTCTTCTGTACAGCCCTGCCAATTAATTAGCAGCTGCACTACAACATGGATGATGGTGGTGGATGTCTTACAGCTGTGCCAGCAGAACGTGGGCTGCAGTACACCACTAGCTGGTAAGCAGCACATGAAATACCTGATACCAGGAGAAGGGCATTGGACAAGGCCACTGCTCGAGTTGAGCCCTGCTTAGGGAAAAATCAGAACAAGTTTCTCACCATGACATCTTTAGGAGGGTGGCAAGGTGGGCAATGCCAGGCTGGTGGCCAGCTGCAACAGCCCTGGGTGGTGTTTCCCTTTCCCCAGTTCTAATGTGGGAAGCATTGCCAGCAACGGGCATGAAAAGTTTTCCTGGTAGACCAGAAGCTTGTTGCATTTTGCAAATTAGCTTGATCTTACCCGAGGAAACATGCAAGAGTCCCTTATAATGTTTCTAATGGCTGCTAAGCCTCGGAGCTAGCATAAAGTAATGGCTTTCAGGCTGTTTATTGCTCCCTGCCACCCCAAAACCTGTCTACCTTTTGCTAACAGTAACCTTATGTTTAGAGAGGCATTTGCAGTTTATTGTACCATTATTTTATGTAAGCTCCAGCTACTATTTGCTATGGACTCAGAAGGTGTCTCTGAAAGCATTTCTGTTTACTTCCCTTTCCAAATAGTAGCAATCCTAAATTTTCTGCATTTGGCCACACATAATGTGTGTCTGAGGAAAAGAGACCAAATCCTGAGGTACAACACAGTAACTATACATTTAGTTACCGGTGGAAATTACATATTAACAGCTGTTAATAATATACTTGAATAGCTAATTCTGAAGCTTCTCTCTCTTTTCTTGGTTTTCAGCTCAGTCCATACAGCCCTAGGCAGTTGTGAGCTGCTTCCAAAAGGATCCACAAAA